CCTGTCAACTTTTGATCCCGCATCGTCGAATCGCAAAGCAGCCCTACGCCTCGATAAAAACTTAATACTGGATCCTATCCCCTTCAGGCCAGCGCCCTGTCTGTATCCATCCATTTCTGTCCTTGTTCGTTCGTCCAAGCTGTCCCTCCACCCCCCGGCCCAGTCCCCCCGAGGCCAGACAATCACCCGCCAACCTCCGTCTTCCCGCATCTTTGGCGCCTCCTGCTTGCTTCCCATCGGAGTCTGGTCGAACTCAGAACTCTGTGTGCCATTGGCATTGGGCATCTTGGGAACTGGCTAGAGAACTTGGCACCACGACGGCGCACTGTCACGGCACGCACCACGAGAGTCAATCTGTCGCCCTCCACTGCGTCCACCAGGTCCCTCCAAACTTAACACCACCTCCTCCCACGCCGCCTCAAGCCACAGCTGTTCCCGAGACTTTTGCTCGTTCTTGACTTCTCCTTCAACTTCAATTCTTTCTGCAGCCTCTCTTCGTCTTTTCTGCGGACTGGACTGTGTGGCCCTTAATTCGTTTCTCGGCTCTGCTGCCTTGACATCTTCGGCTCCCTCCTGCCCTGCAACTTTCTTCCCCAACTTATTTTCTCCGGCCAAACCTTCCGTTCCCTCTAAATCCTCCAGTGCCGTTACATTCACAAACTCTGCCTCTTAATCCGCCTTCTTACTCTGCGTACTCTTGCTCTCTCTACTCTCTCTCCGTCTCCCCGCTCTCCCCCCCCTTCCCCGAGGAAGGAGCCCCCCAGTCGAACCGGAAGCGAAACCATATCATTTGCCTAAACACCAGAGATCACCAGTATCCGTACCGTTTTGTTTTGGTATTCGCTACCGCAGGGGCTCCTCAGAGCATCCAAACTACTGGATTGCACGGGAGCTGAGCTACGATATCCAGGAAAGAAGGTTATCACCGTCTTCCTCCGAAAGTTAAAACTTGGCCGGTGCAAAGCTTCGCAGAACCATGTCAAATCAATCCAACCCCCTTCGTCCTACCTTTGAGGGACTTGTCGCCTCTACATATGATTCACTGGTTTTGTTCGAGGCCTGCTTGTCTGGCCGGCTCACCCACGTACCACGTCGCCCTCATGATCGGGAGCGCCAGGACCTCATCAAAAGTGGCAATGTCTTCATTTACGAAGAGCACGCTTCAGGCATCAAACGATGGACCGACGGTGTATCTTGGAGTCCCAGTCGAATTCTCGGCAACTTTCTTATATACCGGGAGTTGGAGAAGCCGTTTCCGCCAGGAGAAAAGAAACGAGCCCTTAAAAGAAAGAAGTGTCCTCCAGGAGGCATCGGAAAGGCGGACTCTACCTCACACCTAAACATGTCTGGTTTCACTTCACCTGCTGCCATGGATGGCGCCAATATCAAGGATACCGAGAGGGCATTGATCGGATCATTGATTGATTCGTACCCTTTCAAGCCCGACGGATTGGTCAAGAAGACAATCAGCGTAAACTATAATGGCGTTCCTCATCACCTTGTGAGCTACTACAAGGTTGACGATGCGGTTGCTGGAAATCTTAATACCCCGTCAAGGAGCTACGGTTTTAGTGGCATCTCACCTCGAAACGAACTCCTAGTGTCCCAGAATTTTCGTGCTCCCATTGACGAAGTACAGTATAGCCCGGACGACGAAGGTGGTGGCCCCTCGGGTCTCATCGCAACAGTTGTAAATGCGCCGACTTTTCCTGGTGGCTCACATGCTCATATGCCCAGAGCCATGTCCATGGCGGGCTTCCATGCTCCGGTGCCAGCAGCGTACGGGTCTATTCCCTACACATACCATCCACAACACCAGTACCTGGCGACGATGAATTCGCCCATGCCAGTTCAGATGCCACAGCCGCTTCCTTCTTCGATTCAGCCCCCGTTGGGTTCTTCAGCTCCGCAGTCGATTCCGCCGTCTATCTCTCCAGCAATGCCGTCCAGCACATCTTCGATGCCATACACTCCTCAGCCACATGGTAATTATTCTTTGGGCCCTACCAGAGCCTCCCGCTTCAGTGCCAGCACTGGTATGGATAGCGAATTCCCGCGAAGTATGCCACTACACGATCCACCAAGACGGAATTCGGCATTCGAACTTGCACAGCCTGCAGAGCTGTCCTCGATGCATCTTAGCACAGTCCCCGGAGGCAGACCTCCCCAGAGCGGCAATACATATGTTGGACAGAGTTCGTACTATGTTCCCCACCGAGCTGGCCAAATCGCGAGCCAAGAGGGACAGGCTTTCAATCAGCCACGGCAAACGAAGCAGGATCCCAATACTTTGACTGGCGCGGAAGCTGGGACCCAGAACTACAACTTGGACCAGAATACGAATGATTGGGCCCTTGGACAGTCTGACGGCCAAGGCGACCTACAGTATTTCGGAAATAATGCAAGTAATGGCTCCGAGCAGTGGCCTGGGGGTTCCAATGATTTGGGGCGCTCCTGAGTGCTTATAAGTTCATACTCTACGCAGCATTTCGCTACCAACGTCTTTGGCTTGTATGCCTAGCATTTTCACACGATCTATGTTCTTCCTGCGGGCAGATATTCTTGCTTCTTCTATTCTTCGTTTCTTTCTGGGGGCTTGATGGGCTATCACTGTCTTCATGCTGCGGCTACGCTTGTTTTTTGTCGTTCTTCTCTTCACCTTCATTCTCCCAGTATCGTGTATGCTTCTATGGCTGGGGACCGTCCTACAATTACTTAGCGATGGCTTTGGTAGCGAGCAAGACGCTTCTTTAGGGTTTGCTTTTGTTTCACTCCCTGCTGGCGTGTGGAAAGGGTTGGGGAAGCTCTGCACTGATGCCGCTCGCTGTGGTTGTTGTTTTTTTCGTTCTTCCTTTATATATATATATATATATATGTACGCAAAAGAGGTTTGCTTGGGCTGGCTGTTTCTATTGTTCAATTTGGCGGTGTTTTGGGCATAAGGGAAAAAAAGGGACGGGTTTCCAATACGGGTTTTCAACTATTGTTTAAATTGATCGGTCGTTGATTGTTGCCACGGCGTTTGGGGTTGTACTCTGTTGTACGTCATGGTTGGGTGGGCACCATGTTTGAATAGACCTTGCTATAAGAATCCTTAGATGATAGTCCCGCGAGGGAGGTCCTCTGTGACTCATCACTAAACAAGAGCATCAAAGATAAGAGGGCCGAGAGATGGCTGCCATTACATGTGTATCAGCGGGACAACACAGGAAACACAGTCCAGAAGTCATAACGCGTGTGGCCTGGAAGGAGGCTACCTTCTAGGGTAGGTAGTTGGCTATGTGCAAGCCCCGTTGATGGGACCCGCTCCCCCCGGGACTGAAAATAACTGATTTTATCATCGTGCTGTAATCTGACACCGGATAGTCACAACAGCATAGGAACCGACAAGTTCAATTCGTCACTGAACTTGACACTAGAGATTGGGTTTATCAGGACCACGATCAAGCTCGCTGCCGAATGGCACTGACTGATTGTGAGTGAAACACCATGCTTATGGTCCCATTTCTCTCTCGAGCAACGAGCCGGGCACGCTGCAGAGGGCCTTCACGCAATGCATTTAGGGCAATTAGCACACGCTCGCCAGCAATCTTGCCCCGATCATCACCAGTATCGCCCGTTCTCCGCACCCGCATAATCGTCAGGCCCACGGAGAGCCAAAACCAAGTCCGATATTACAGGTGAGCAGCTTCTTACGATTGCCCAGTCAACGCCCAAGCGTCATAGACTCGAGGCAAGTTGATTAGGATCAGAAACTGATAGACAGAGCCATAGTTGCCGCTCTAGTCAACCCCAGAAAGCCGACCATCCTAAAGCGGAATCGACGTCACAAGAGAAAGCGGGAAATCCAGCTGTCCACACTCCTTCAGGGACGAGCGACGTTATTCACGAGGATATATATACAGTACCGAATTTCCTAACGATTACAAGACTTATAGCAGCCCCCGTTATAGGGTATTTGGTTCTTCATGACTCTCATGCGTGGGCCGTGGGATTGTTCGCGTATGCTGGGATTACGGACCTGCTCGATGGCTGGATTGCTCGTAAATGGAATCGCAAGACGGTGGTTGGAACCATAATAGATCCCATGGCGGACAAGGCTCTCATGACGATACTGACTATATGTTTAGCCGCCAAAGGCGCTCTGCCGTGTACGTGTCCTACAGAGTGAAATGGCCCAATGTCTGGAAATATTTTGGAGCTAATTGCTTTGCTTGATCCCCATCTCCAATTACCAGTCCCTTACCTGCTGACGATTTATCTGTTTGATGCTTTAGTATGGGTCGCGACGGTTATTTTAGGAAGAGACGTAGGCCTTGGGATGGCTGCTATATATTACCGCTGGATTTCGCTACCACCGCCCAAGACTTTCTATCGGTATTGGGATTTCTCTCTCCCATCCGCGGAAGTTCGTCCTACAACAATAAGCAAATACAACACATTTTTACAGCTTGCTCTCGTTGGCCTCACAACAGCAGCCCCACTTGTCGAGACTGATCTGACATCAGTGTTGACGACTTTGCAGTAAGTCTTATTGATAACGCTCCTCCCTCAACTATCCAGTTTGTCGGTTTTGCTGACGAGGCATTAGATATGTCGTAGCGGCCACCACTATCGGGAGTGGCGCCAGCTATATATTCAGCAAGGATGCTGTGAAGATCCTGAAATAGAGGACCAAGATGGTGAAAGCACACTTGCTATTCGGCCCAGGGAGGTCTTTGGGGAATGGCGGAATGTAGCACATTCAAGCTTAGGACGTGGCTGTGATGGTATTTCCAGATCCGCCGGTGCATCATCCTGTATTAAGACTTACAGACCCTGGGCTGAGTTTGGGAAAACAAATCAAATCAAGAGTGTATACAGTATAAAGGTTGTCCTGTGTATTTGCGCACATAATTATTCAAAATATATTTCCACACTATTGTGCATCTTATGAAGTACCTCAGATACGGTACATTCGCCCAAGACACCGAGAAAAGCTTACTCTAAGAACACATGGTCTAGTTCACTCGCGGCGCATCAGAAAGAGAGCGCTGGCGTATGTGTGCCAGGAGCCTGACAGTACCTGCGGGAGTAACGCCTTCGACTCTACGTGCTTGTGCTAGGGTTTCTGGACACGCGGCTTTCAGTAGTTCCTTTTCAGATAAGGCTAGACCGGGTATGGCGTCGTAATTGATGTCTAAGGGCAGGCGAACGCTCTCGTCATAGGCGAACCGACCCCGTTCAGCAGCTTGCATCCTGACATATGGTGCATATACGGCTTCAATAGCAACACGGTCTCTAACCCGAGTCGAGTATGATTTAATTTCCGGAATGGAGGTGCTCAGCTGTTGAAGATCAACTCGAGTCCCGGTATTCGATAGTCGAAGAATATCAATACCTGTCCGGCGCGGCGAGTTCTTCTTGAGATGCCAACCTTGTTCCGACCATTGTGTGGATGTGAGAGACACCGAGTTGAGTATCTTTGTAAGATCGTCAATCTGCTGACGCTCGTCTGAAAATGCTTTCCAGCGGGAATCAGAGACTACGCCCCAGTCCCGACCTTTCTCCGTAAGCCGAAGATCTGCATTATCAGCTCTGGCCGCCATGCGGAATTCGCTTCTGGATGTAAACATCCTGTAGGGCTCCGTAACGCCTTTCGTAATGAGATCATCTATCATAATTCCAATATAACCATCAGATCTGGATATTGACACTTCGGACAATCCCTGAGCAACTCGCCCTGCGTTAATGCCTGCCATAACACCCTGCCCAGCGGCTTCTTCGTAGCCAGTGGTACCGTTGATCTGCCCCGCGAGGTATAGACCGTGGATAGCTCGAGTCTCGAGCGTGGATTTGAGCCCACGAGGATCGATGTAGTCGTATTCAACACCGTAGCCCGGCTGCAGCATTTCTACCCGCTCGAGGCCTTTGATAGTTCGCAATGCCTGCTTCTGAGCCTCAGGTGGTATGGTCATTGACAACCCATTAGGATATACAATTTGACTCTCGAAGCCTTCTGGTTCAAGCCATACTATGTGTCGCTCTTTGTCTGGAAAGCGAAGAACCTTGGACTCCAAGGATGGGCAGTACCTTGGACCCTTAATTGTCTCTCGGATGTGAACGGTGTTCTGGAGGTTTTCACGTACAATTCGGTGAGTTGCGTCGGTAGTGTGTGTAATGCTACAGGTCAGCTGATCCGCGACGGACACAGCATTATTCAAAAAGGAGAACGGAGTGGGCGGTGTGTCTCCATATTGAACCTCCAGCTCCTTAAAGTCAATGGTCTTTTGATCCAGCCGCGGAGGTGTACCGGTCTTGAGTCTTCCGAGCTGGAAGCCTGCAGTCCGAAGCGATTTACTTAATCCAAAGGTAGCTGCTTCACCCAGTCGCCCTGCCGGGTAGCTCTGGAGACCGATGTGTATTTCGCCGCCCAAGAACGTGCCAGTGGTAATAATGACCTTGTTTGAGGGCAAAACTTGGCCAGAGTCTAATCGGACCCCTGCAATGGATTTGGAGGCTCCTAGTGCCTGTGGAGGGTCAAGCTTCGATAAAATAATATCAGAAACACTGGCGAGAACGATTGAGAGATTCGGATATGACTCAAGCTCCTCTCTCATGTATTGCTTGTATAGCTTTCGATCGATTTGAGCACGAGGACCCTGTTATAAATGATGAGTTAGTCCATATACTCGATTCTCAACGAGGTCATATATTGGGCTTGACATGCCCACACCGCTGGTCCCTTGCTACGATTCAACATGTGAAACTGGACACCGGCTTTGTCGATAATTTTTCCAGCTAGACCATCAAGAGCATCAATCTCTCGTATTATCGTTCCCTTTCCGATACCCCCAAAACTCGGATTGCATGAGCAAGTCCCAATGTTATCGATTTTTGGAGTGACCAATGCAGTTTTCGCTCCTGTTCTTGCAGCTGCGGCACAGGCTTCAGCACCAGCATGGCCGCCGCCAATGACGATGACATCGAAAGGCCTAGTAGAAAACTTAGTACAGCTGATGAGAGTCAAGAATTTGTTGGGCTTGGCTGAGACTAACTTGGAGTTCGCTGCCGTAGCAAATTGGCGACGGGGAAGTCCACGCAGCGACTGGTGGCATGTTGTGCGTACTGTAATATGCATGAAATTATCGCGATACATATCAGATCAAAAGCTACTCTCAATTTTCGGGAATGTGATGCATTGTCACTCTGATCGCGGGTTCTCTGATGGCGAAGGCATTTTCCCTGGTGCTGGTGCAAAAGTTCATGGGAATTTATTGAGCGACAAATTTTGGGATTGGCTGAATGCCTTTTATTGTGGGTCGCTGCTCTTGAAGGTGTAAGCTGTCGTCACTCCGAACTAGACGGTCTAAGAGCTCGTGCATGGTGGTAAAACTAAAACTTTTTCTTATTTCAATTCCATACAGCTGAATACGCTTGCTATCTAATTAATAAAGGAACACTTCGGTATAAGAGGCCGTGTCACGTCATCTGCGGCCAGTGACTTCTGGCCAGGAGCTCACGGCATCGTCGACTTCGTTAAAGAAGGTGGCCGCATTGAGGATAGAAGTGCCACCCAGAACAACCCTCACCCCTGGCGTTGTTGCGTTTATGCCGGTGATCATCTTAGCCTCCTCATATGTTGCGCCGCCCACGACAAAGACAATTACATCCTGTGGCTTATCTCGTGTTGACCCCCCGCCTTCCACGAAGGGATATTGTTGTTCCCTCAAGCGACCCTTGATGAGATTCTGCAGTGTGCTTTCCAAAAGAGATGTGTGTTGCGTATACACGTTTTCCACACCTTTTAGCTTAAATCTGCTTGAAGCACCAGAGAAGATGCCCGCAGAGTCAAATATGTCGGAAATTCCGCCCTGAGATGGAGATGTGTGGAGAGATAGGTGGTAAGCGAGGATCTTGTTAACTAGGCTCGACTGTGCCGGTGAGACACCGCCGGCTGCAACTAGAAGATCTACTAGCATGGGAATGGCATTGGATTGCTGTTTGTGATAGCGCAGAGCATATAGTGCTACCAGCCCAACTTTGGCATTAGCCGTGATGTCGGGGGTTTGAATTAGATTTTGGATATTCTGGCGATGCATTTAGTAGGCTGGCACAGTGATTTGGAAATCGGTCCTGACCTTCAGATCCGTATTATGATTGTCATTGCACGCAAGGCTTTGCTCAACCTCGCTCACCTCCAATAATTTTTGGGCCGATACCCGTCGACTTAGCTCTGATACGAGGGTGACATGCTTGCTGACATTTCCCGAGAGCTTACGAAACTCGGGATATTCCTCAATAAACCGCTTCATGTCAGCTATCGACTCGATATTGGCATTGTTTTTCGTCTTGGACTGATACTGCTCAACATAGTCCTTTATCGTCGAACCTAAATCGCCAAAATTTAGGAACATATTTTTCTTGAAGAAGGGGTCTTGGTCTTGAGACAAGACAATTTCCCTCAGCTCCGGCCGTATGTCTGGGACATTGCTGAGGTCAACTCGGCCGTTGTGAATACCCAAAAGGTGGTGAACCATGGCTTGGTATGTCCACTGAGTAAGTAATGGTGTCACAGGATCCTCTCGCCTGTCGAGAATCAGAAGAATCGGCGGCGTGTCAACTTTTCGGAACTCGAAAAGCTGTTCTTCCTGTGACATGAGATAGCGCACCTCTGATGCCAGTTTTTTAGCCAGTGGGCTGCTTTTCTCATATCTGATGAGTGGCTTTTTCTTCAACGACAATAAAACTGCAAGCAAACCTTCGGAACATCTCTGAAGAGAATCCGCATTCCAGGCATCGGGATTTGGGCCCCATATACGCCACTGTGGAAGAGATACCGAGAGTGAGAATAAATCAGAGTTGATAACCGTATAGTCGGCGAAGTGTTCTTGAACAGCTTTCACCACCTCATGGTCATCTGCCTCTGCAAGTCGTTCTAGGGACGACTTTTTCGCTACGTTCGTGAAGTACAGATAATATTCGCCATATTTAGGATCGCGCAGCTCATCTATTAGAAGTTGGATACTCTCAGATGATGGGCGGAGGAGGCACAGGCATCGAAGATGACGCATTTTTTCGCGGCCGGTATTGTCCAGGCGATCAATGAGATATACTTCGTGATTCAGTAATGATGATTGCGTAACGGCCGTCGAAACAATAGATATGGTTTCCCTATCCAAAAGCAATATTTTCATTTTTGTTGAAGAAGCGTCTCCGGAGGGCATGACGATCTTTGAGATGTAGCTAGATATAGCCTGGGAGACGTCCATTTTCGACGAGAAGGTGAGGTCACCTCGGCCTTGACCAGCGTCTCTTTTATGTCACAACACTCTTTGGATTGTTGCCAAGGCAGGTTCGATTTTGGCAGAGGAGATGCTGGTGCTGCAAACCTCGGAGATCAAGTCAAAGACAAAGCCAGCGAAAATGAACGCCTGAGAAAGCGGTGAGTTTTGATAGGGAAGTGTCTGGCGTGCTGAATGAGAAGCTTGCCCGAGTCCGTGAATGGTAGCCTGGGATGTAGGTTAGCAACACATGTGTGGCACCTCCCAGAAAGGGCCCCATAGCTTTGGTGGACGACTCGGGTACGTGCATACCGTAACCCGCTATGCACATAATATTCCTCCTCCATGCCCTGTTCCAGTCGCCACTAGGAACTTAGCGGGCTTAATTAGATTTTGGGCGAACCTTCAAAAGCCAAGGGGGCAGTTGTTCAACATTGCCATGAGAACAAAGCTGCATTCTTTGTTCTCCCACAACCAAACCCTGCTAGTAGCCGCGCACCCGTGTCTTGGAGATAATGGCTTTAGAGGAATGTTCACCGAGGTCAGAGCCGACGTAAGTACAAAGAACCTTGTTCTGCAACGACCTTCGTTGGTATCAACTCTTATCTTCATGTCAGGCTCTCATTCACACAGGGGCTCGTCGTAGGGCAACTGTCCGTAGTACTGATACTGGCTGCATTTATTAAATTCTTCATCTTTGGCGATCCACCGTCATCAGATGTAACGGCATCACTGCGTGCCACGGAAAGGAGGTCCAGAACACTCGCTCACAAGCAATCTCTTCTCAGTTTGCGCAGTCCGAGCCAAAGACAGAGCCAGCATTTGAAGCGCAAGAAGTCCAGTGTGCTACGGAACCCACCAACGCTCACCATTGGATCCATTTTGAGCAAAACTTACTACAACGTCGACAGCCACCAACCGGAAAGCCTGGATTGGTTCAATGTCCTTGTTGCTCAGACAATCGCTCAATTCCGAAGCGACGCACAACATGATGATGCCATTCTCAATTCCCTAACTAAGGCGCTGAACGGGGCATCCCGGCCTGACTTTATCGATGACATTCGTGTTACGGAACTGAGTTTAGGCGAGGACTTTCCCATTTTCAGCAACTGTCGTATTATCCCCGTGGATGAAGACGGACTTGGCCTCGGGAATGGCATCAAATTTGATGCCACGGCTGCTGCACGGGATGGAACAAGACTGCAAGCTCGGATGGATGTCGACTTGAGCGATATGCTTACTCTTGCTGTCGAAACAAAACTGCTTCTCAACTACCCGAAGAAGCTATCTGCTGTTCTCCCTGTTGCGCTGGCCGTCTCTGTTGTTCGGTTTAGCGGGACTCTGTCCATTTCCTTTATTCCAAGCAATCCGTCGCAATCGACACCGACAATGATGACTTTCAGTTTTCTAGATGATTACCGATTGGATTTTTCCATCCGCAGCTTGCTTGGGAGCAGATCCAGATTACAAGATGTACCCAAGATTGCCCAGCTAGTCGAGGCTCGGCTGCACAGGTGGTTTGACGAGCGTGCGGTGGAACCCCGCTTCCAAGAGATAGCTCTCCCAAGCTTGTGGCCGAGAAAAAAGAACACCCGAGGACCTGATGATACAATTGTGGATGGAGGCTTGTCTATCAGTCGATCTAAAGGGAAAGATATTGGTCGTGATGTTCGAGATGAGATTTCATGGCGGAAAGAGACATCGACTGAGGACAGAAAATGGGACATGGCGTCGCTGAGGCATCGCAACCCTGTAAAAGATACCGACATACCTGATATACCCGGTTCACCCCATAGCCCTTAGCATTTTCTGTATCTAAGTATAGAGTGTTCAGATTATTTGCCTGGCTGTTGATGTTGAAAGATGTTACATTAAATTTTGTACCGTCAGAGAAACCCCTGAGCTCCTGAAAGATACCACCCACCTATTGTCGTCATGGGTCACCGCGTGCGTCGCATACCAGCTTACAAGGCTTTAGTACAAAAACGTAATTGCCCAAATATGTGGCATGGTTTTGTCGGCTGGGTTTTACCACCGCATCCCGGCAAGCCTTGGTCCATTGTGTCTAAAATTCGGCGAGAGCCATTGGCGAAGTTGTCAATGAAGATATGTTTTGCCACCACAAAACGCAGCCTCCCAGAAGCAACACATAATACGGGATAGTCCACCTCAACACATTGCTGGGTTGGGAGAGCTCATGATGCGAGAGCCAATATGGCTCTAAAACACCCCAAACACGAGGAAGGCCTATTGAGTTACATAGCGTATGGACGGTGACAACAGATAGCAGCGATCCGGTACGCAGGAATATAAACGTAGCATAGGCCCCAAACACACTGGTATAGGACAGCTGGAGAATGGAGCGGGCGATTGCAGCGACAAGAGGCGTTTCGGGATGCGTGACGCGGAACTCATAGAAGTGGTGGAGGTGTGCGAGCCCAAAAACAAGGGGCGAAAAGAATATGATGCGTTTGATGCTACAACCAGCCACCAAGAGTAACGGTACAGCTGCGGAGCGGAAAAGGCATTCCTCAGTAATAGGACCCTGCGTAATTGTGTAAGTTTCCGCCATGTGTCAGGTGCAGACGCTGAAGGATGAAGAGCTCATACGGCTACCATGTTCCTCCACATAGCCCAGTCTCCCCAAAGCTGCCCCAAGGGTTCTAATCGCAACCATGACTGCCATACACCATCAATGAGCAGACATTCATACAGGGGCCCGGCAAATAGCAAAGTAGTTAGGAGTAAGGATCTGAATGCGTCAATGATCCCCAATGGCCAGTATCCCATGATATGCCACGGTGAGCCTTGGTCAGCGGCGGAGCTTCTACAGAGAAGGACGAATGTTGCGAGCGAGCACAAGGTAGTTGAAAAC